CCCCAAGGTCTGGAACAGCCTGCCATCGGAGGTGGTTCAAGCACCTACATTGAACACTTTCAAGAGCAAATTGGATGCTTATCTTGCTGGGATCCTATGACCCCAGCTGACTTCTTGCCCTTTGGGCGGGGGGCTGGACTCGATGATCTTCCGAGGTCCCTTCCAGCCCCAATGTCTGTCTATGAAAATCCACCCTCCTGAAGTCCAGGGCTGCTAGCTTGCTGCAGGCCTTTGCCACCCTGAGCTGGATGGTGAATTCCACTGGTGATGATCGCTATCGCTCAGGTGATAGAGCGCCCACAGTCCCCTTACCAGGTCGTTGCTTGTGGCCAGGACCAGGTCTAACAAGGCATTTCCCCTGGTGGGACTGTGCACCTCCTGGGTTAGATGGAGGTCCTGTAACGAGGCTAGGAACCTACGTCAGTGGTCAGACCTGGCTGACTGCTCTTCCCAGCAGATGTCCAACTAGTTTAGGTCACCCGCGATGACCACAGCCTTTGACTTAACTGCCTCCGTGAGCCGACCTGAGAATTCCCGGTCTAGATCTTCTCCCTGGTTGGGTGGTCTGTAGTAGACCCCCACCGTTAACTCCTTTTCCCCCCCAACCCCATTGTATTCTGACCCAGAGCACTTCAGTCTGCCCCTCCTCTGACCCAGTGCTGCTCGTTGAAGATGTGAATTGTTCTTTGACACAGAACAGGGAGGAAAGGAGGGAACATGGTGCAACAGCCCCTGCCGCCAATAGTGCCAGTAGCAGCAGCAGCAAGCGGCAGTCGCTCATGTTCATGGCAGGCAGAGCTCTACAGCAGCACAGCTGAGTTTCAGGGGTTGCATGAGGCAGCATGCTGGCACAAGCCTTCAACCCAGACTGGGCTGGCTCTGTGACAGCTCTTGCGGCTCACAGCACTGCAGGCCGGAGCCATGCGCCACCGGGCTGGGCTGGCTGCCTCTGTGCCTCCACATGGGGCTTCCAGCACCCCAGCAGGAAGCCAGATGCAGAGGCATGGAGCTAGCCCAGCACAATGGCACGCAACTCCATGCCTCCACATGCGGCTCCCCACAGGGTTGCTGAAAGCCCCCACGTGGAGGCATGGAGCCCATCCAGCCCTATGGCACACAGCTCCTGCATGCAGTGCGGCAAGCCACAAAAGCTGCCATGGAGCCAGCCCACTCTGGTTTGAGGGCGCATGCCAGCTCTGTGCCACCATGTGCAGCGCCTGGAAGCCATCACATAAATTTCAATTTTTCTGTACATAATTACCTGGGGTGTACTTAACGCCCAAGAACCATGCCTAGCTTCCAAAAGAAGGCTACAGAGAAAGGCTCAGTAGAACTTATTGTACACAGAGGACATCAACCCTACAGAAACAGTATCTAGCATGTTCAAGGTTCATTAGCATGGCAGATGGAGAAAGGGAGAGAATCCTTTCAGAGAAAGATTACAAATATTAAAAAAGAAAATACTATATTCAAAGCAATGGTATATAACAAGTCAGTTAGCAAACCTTCTTTTCAGTGGGCTAGCTGAGTAGCCAGAGATCAAGCTTATATTAAAACATTTGCAGAGGTCTTTTGATAGTTTCAGCTAGATCAAAAAGGGCTGCAGTCTGGACCTGATTTGTATTAAATAAAAACGTACTTTTAAAACAACCTACCCTGTGCATATATACTTTTTATGCAGCACTCAAGTATTTATTAATCTCCTCTTTAAGCATCTTCATTGCTGCCCAATAGACTTCCTATTACATTATTCATTCATAACTACATATTGCAAAGTACTTATAAAATTTTTCCACCTCAAAAAAAAAAGATAACCAAAAAATTATTAGAACTTATCTGTTACAGAGAGTGCATATAACACAGTAACTGAGTAAATAGGGCAAAAGTGGAACCTGCAAGTGTTGAAGTGACTTCTGAAGCAGCACCTGCTCTTGATGTAAAGTTGAGAGACAGCAACTCAGGAAGGTGAGAAGAATTTATATAGTAAATTTCACAAATACGTAAGGGCTTGCAAAATCATACCCATGAAAGTGCTACCAGAAGAGCTCTAATGTACGCTCCTATACCACAATCAGAGCATGACAGAGAGAAATTACATGCATAGATTTTATCCATTTAGACAGCTTTTGTACTGAAGTGGCTAACCCTGATCTTTTTCTCAAAAGGCTGCAAATAGTCATTCAAATTTTTAAGTGGTTTAGTCTTGTTTAGATACAAGCCCTTTCAATATCCAGGGTGTATATTATAACCACCCTTCTGGATGCCAGGATTTGAGTGAAAAAATATACGCACAGGTAGAAAAGCCAGAAAACATTTTTCAAACCCTCTTAGGCATAATACACAATCATACTACAGAATCCGTGCTCCTCGCTAAAATCCGATGCAGGTCACTACACAGGCACTTAACTGGGTTTTTACTTGCCAATTCAGAAAAGCAGGAAGTTGATAAGTATTAGTCTCAGTTAAGTGTTATCAAGGACCATCACCTATAAACTGTCACTTTTGGACATTCTACAAATGAAAATCTTCTCTTTATAGCACCAGATAAAATAACTACACACTTTTAACTTACAGTTGTACAGATATGATCAGTACAATGTTTAATTCTGAACAGAGTTGATCCCACATAATTCTAAACATAAGTGGAAAACAGTTCTTGGAATATAACGTTACAGGGTAAGGTTGTTCACATTTCATGTACACCATCTGCATGATTACATATTTCTACTTTTATCTGAACATGAGTTTCAAGCTCTCCACATACCAGTTTCCAAAGCACTACCATATACACTAAATGGAATATATACTTAGAAATCTACGAAAGACATTCTGCAATACCACAACCCTGAACTAAACATCCCATTCTAGTCAGCATTTTCAGGATATGTGAAAAAGTATAAGAAAAACAAACATCTGCATCCTGTCACAGAAACACGGTAACCTGTTTGTTGCAAAGAAAAGAGAAGAGATTCTTCCAAAGGCAGGAGGCTGTACTCTGCTCTTACCAAAACATGACAAGGTGATTAGAACCGGATGTTTAATGCAGTGATGCGGTACTGCACAAGGTTTTTCCTTGAATTTTAATCATAAATTCCATGTAGTGTAAATGGCAGCACTCTAGAGACTAGAATGTGGAGAACTTGACACTAACATTCAGATAAAAGTAAAGATATATAGAACAGTGTTTCTCAACCCGTGTGCCACTGCACAAGCGTGCCATCAGAAATGAACAGGTGTGCCACAGAATTTTGCCATGGCAATGAGCTACACTAGGTATGAGGATGGGGAACGCCTTAACAGGTGTGCCGCGGAAATTTTTTATTAATGTAAGCGTGCCTTGGGCTGGAAAAGGTTGGGAAGCACTGATATAGAAAAGACATAACAATAAGATTTTCATTTGAAGAACACCTAAACACGACAATCGTCTACGTGATGGTCCTTGACATACACTGAGCTGTGACCAATACTTAGCAGAAAGCTGCTTAGCGTGCGCTCTCTGAAGAATTAGCCAAGCAGCATAAGGATGTCTTCCTGTGAGGCAGAACTATTTACAGCAGTTCTCCACTGCGGTGCTGTGCACCAGATTCTTTAAAGAGCACCACAATCCATAAGGAGATACCGGAGGTGTGCAAAGATAAACAGATAACGGGAGGCCCAATCTTGTCTCAGCCTGGCCATTCCCCGACCACCACTGCAGTGGGGCGGGGCAAGGAGATGAGCGCTGCAACATAGGTCAAATTAGCTTCTAAAGCTGGATGCCGCTCAATTCAGTAGTTACAAAGAGATACCTCCAGCCCAACGACGCTCAAGGCCACTTCTTCAAGTACCGCCTGTGCCACACACCACTGCAGCTGCCTTGGGGAGGCGACCCCCCCCCCCCCAGAAGCCCACCACCGCGGGCCAGACCACCCCGCCGGCCCCGCCCCACCACGGGAGATGGGGCACCAGGGCAGTGAGTCCCACAGCCGCCTCCTCCCCGCCGCTAGGCTGCCCCCGGCGCGGACCTCCTCGCTCCCGGCCTCAAGGCAAGCTCCGGGGGGCGGCAGCTGCCACGCAGGCCCTCTCCCCATGAGGCATCAGTCCCTGGGCAAAGAGGTGCGGGGACCGTGCCGGGAGCCACCTCAGGCGCTGCGCCCTGCCCCTCACCAAGAGGTCCACGTTGGTAGCCAGACGGAGCTGCGGCTTGTGCTGCTTGATGAGGCCCCGCAGGGCGCTGCGCGGCGCCGTCCGCTTCATGC